TCTTCACGGGCCTTGCAATTTCCTTGCTGATCTGTATGGTGGATCAGAATGGCATCAGTGTTACACTACCAACGATCTCACGCGAGCTGGGTGCCCAAAACACCATTTCCTGGGCTGGAACTTCGTCGCTAATTGCAAACACCGTGTTCACCGTGCTGTACGGCCGACTATCAGATATCTTTGGCCGGAAAGTCATGTACATCTCCGCATTGGTCTTGCTGTGTATTGCAGACCTGCTCTGTGGCTTGTCTCAGAACCCGGCTATGTTCTATGTCTTCCGAGGCCTGGCTGGTGTCGCTGGTGGTGGTGTTACCTCTCTGACAATGATTATTGTCTCCGATATCGTGACCCTAGAAAAGCGAGGCAAATACCAGGGTATTCTAGGTGCATCTCTGGGTCTTGGTAATATCATTGGGCCGTTTCTGGGTGCTGCATTCATCATGCGTTCAACGTGGCGCGGTTTCTTCTGGTTGATTTCTCCATTGGCTGCTTGCTCTGCAGTCGTTGGATACTTCCTCATTCCGAATAATGCACGCAAAGATAACTTCCGTGAGAATATTGGGCGCATCGACTGGTTCGGACTGCTCGCATCGTCCATTGGTATCATTTTTCTCTTGATTCCTATCTCGGGTGGTGGATCCTATTTCCCCTGGGATTCACCGATGGTCATTAGTATGCTTGTTATTGGAGGTTGTGCAATCGTTGCATTTTTGCTTATTGAATGGAAAGTTGCAACACTTCCGATGCTACCAGGTATGTTTTGATCCCCCCATAGTAGTAAAAGGACATCCAGTTGACATAAAACAGTGGTCTTCTTCAAAAATAAGGTCATCTCTGCAATATTCTTGCAGAGCTTTCTGTATGGTGCAGTCTACCAGTCAAGCCTTTACTATCTGCCATTGTACTACCAGAATGCCCGTGGCTGGTCGCCAATTGCCTCTGCGGCCATGACATGTCCCATGGTTGCGGCCCAGTCAACTTTCTCAATTACATCCGGGCTATACATCACACGAGTAAAGCGCTATGGCGAAATTATTTGGATTGGATTTGGCTTGTGGACTTTGTACGTTGATCGATGCCTAAAAGCTCTTACTTTGGTCCCATACTGACGATATCATTTTCATAGGGGGTCGGGCCTCATGTTATTATTCGGTATCCACACCCATCCGGCTGTTATTGCAGTCATTGTGGCAGTTATGGGCGCCGGAATTGGCTTCACATTCCAGCCCACTCTCGTGGCCCTGCAAGCCCATTGCACTAAATCCCAAAGAGCAGTTGTGATTGCGAACCGTAACTTCTTCCGCTGCATTGGTGGTTCATGTGGCCTCGCCATCTCTGCAGCAATTCTTCAGGCTGCTCTTCGCTCTAATCTACCAACCAAATTCGCGTACTTGGCAGAGTCTTCGTACTCACTTCCTTCAAAAGCGAACATCAGTGCAACTGAGTGGGCTTCAATTCTGCTTTCTTACAGCAAGGCTTCCCACGCAGTATTCATTCTACAAGTCCCCGTCATCGGTGTGTGTTTCCTGGCATGTATTTTCGTGCGTGACAGAGGTCTGGAACGACCGAAAGAGCCGGAAGAGCTGGAGGAGGAAAAGGGAAAGGCCCAAGAAGAGAGAGATGCCGAGGCGGTTACTTCTGAATATCCCGAGGAGTGTCTTGAGACATACCACCAGGTCGAGAAGCGCCATTCTGCGTCAACATTCGCCGAATCATCCATGCCACCTTCCCGGGCGGAACCTAATACTGAGGAATATGGGGAGAAGGAGCAGCATTGAGGCATGTACTAAGGCATATAGGGACTTGATAACTCTTTGATTTGGCTAGATCTGGATTTCCTTGGGCGGCGTGTGATACCGAAAAGCAAAAAGTTTGTATAGTTTACGATATGTTAATATAATACGAGCATCAATTGGCGCTTATGATTGTCCGAGCTACGGAGTCTTGATGTCAATATTGCTATCTGGTAAACTGGAACTTGTAAGATGTGCTTCTGATTTCTTCAACCCTTCGAAATATCTCTTTTATCACAAGTAGTAAAACCGCAGAAAACAAAGAAGCAAAAAGTTCGGGTGTTTATCCTAGACGCCTCGTAAACTATAGGCTAGCCTTAATACTAGGAGACGTCTTGTCTTGGCATTCCGATCCAACGACATCTCCGATCTCTTTCAATCTCAATCGCACCTACAATGGCGCTTCACCGGCGTCTTCATGTTCCAAATTAAAGCTGATATTTTCCAGCAAATCCGATATGTATGCGCCCGGGCAGAGCTCCGAGTCATCAAGGCAGACAAGTCCCGTATCGCGAGATCATAACCCGCGGAAACGCGGGAGGACGGCATGCACTCGCTGCAAGACACGGAAGCAGAAGGTGAGTTCCAATCGGTAGGATGGCTACAAGTATCTAGACTAACGGCTTTTAGTGCGACAACGAATGTCCGACTTGTTCGAACTGCTTGAAGGCGGGTGTCCCGTGCGACAAGTCCAGCGTCCGAGAGGACAAAGATCGTCAGAATGAGTAAGGTCCAAGTATATGTAGTAGCCGGGAAAGAACTAATTTGGATACCAGTTACACACGTGGCTTAGAGGAGCGTGTAGTGTTCCTTGAGCGTAAACTTGTGGAGTCGGATCGATCATCAGACGGGAATACCGCTACATATACGGCGTCTTCGCTGTTCTCTCCACAAGGTGGTAACACAACGCCACACACAGCTACCTCGGGATTTGACAATAACCCGGTCGGAGAAATCGTGGGCCTTCTTGCCCTGAGCGGCTCCGAGGCCCCTGCATACGTAGGATCCAGTTCTGGTCTTTCACTCGCTGCCGATCTGGGAGAGATGGTCCAAACGAGTGTATGGAACCAATTCATCTCAAGAATGCAACATAAAACTACCGCTGCCAGTAGCTCTCGAAGTAAGGCTGGCCAAGCACACGGGCCCTCGGAGCAGCCCAGCGCCACTCAAATTCGAGATCGGACAACGAGAATGGAAGATCTCTTGCCGGCGAATGTTGAACCTCCAACTGATGAGATGGGGGCAAGAATACTCGAAACATATTTCACCCGACTTCATTCTCGATATCCATTTCTTAATAGAAAACATGTATGGCAGATTCATGGAGATCGATGGCGATTAGCGAAGATCAAGCGTGAGGACCTTACTCGGTCTGATCGATTTGCTATTTTCAAACTCAACTTGGTCTATGCAATCGGTGCAACAATGCTTCGGCTGAGTGAGAAATATGCGTACACGACTCCCGAGGTAATCATATTCATTAAGCGTTAAGACTGGCCGACGCTTACAAGTTTTAGCGATTCTATACTGCCGCCTTGCAGCATGTTCCCACGATGTGTGAAGCACGATCGATTGATAATATCGAGGCCATGGTTCTTCTTGTCGTGTACCACCTCCGAACTGCGTCCAGTCATGGAATGTGGTACATGATTGGACTTGCTATGCGTACTGCTATCGATCTAGGTCTTCACCGAAAGGCAAATGAAAGCAATCTGGATCCATTTACCACTCAGATGCGACGAAGGCTATTTTGGACTGTATACTATTTAGAGCGAGTGGTATCAATGTCTCTCGGTCGCCCGTTCAGTATATCCGATCGTCACATTGATCTTGACCTCCCACTAGAAGTGGACGACGACATTGAAGACCCCACACTACTCACAGCACCCCTAGATCCAAACAAGACCACAACCTTGACATTCGCAATTTACCTCTTCAAACTCCGTCGCATCGACTCCCGCATCCAACATAAAATCTACCGCGCAGACCGCCCCCTATCTTCTCTCCGACCAAAAATGGACCCTCTATACATCGAATTGGAACAATGGAAAGAATCCGCCCTATTACGATTCAGCGGTCCAGATCTCGACTACCCAATGCTGCACTTCAACCGAGCAGTCCGACTACTAATCCAGCCATTCCTCCCCCTCCTCCCAATCACGGACCCATACTACCAAATCTGCATCCTGGCAGCAGGAAACATATGCCAATCCCACAAGCGCCTCCACCAAACCCTGGAATATGGCCACTCCTTCCTAGCCGTGCAAACAGTCTTCATGGCCGGAATCACCCTCCTCTACGCGCTGTGGACACACACAGACCAAGTCTGGTCCGTCCGCATGAGCAACGACATCCGCGCTTGCTCAACAGTCCTCTTTGTAATGGGCGAGCGCGCAGCATGGGTCAAGAAATACCGCGACGCCTTCGAGCTACTTGTCAATGCCGCCATGGAGAAACTGCAGGGCAATGAGACTGCCCGCAATGCCGGAATGGCGGAGCTGATGACGGCCCAATATGGGATTAATTGGAATTCTACTACTGCTCCCGGCATGTCGGGTAGTGATAAGTTCCCCCCGGTCAACCCGACGGGGCTGGCTCCAGATACTGCGGGTGCTACGCCCCAGCCGCAGGGTTGTCCGGCTGATGATTCCGAGCACGCGGTTAGGATGGCGTTGCAGCTGGCGCCGTGGATTGATCAGGATGAGAGTGATCCTCTGTGGGTGCCGGACTTTGAGACTTTGGAGAATCTGTCTGGGACTTTTTGGAGTCATGGTGATACGAGACTCTTTGATTCTATGTGATGTCTTTTTGGGCCGTTCATTGTGCAACTTTCCTATTCCTTCTATTATGCCCATGCGAGGGATGGAATATGATACTCTATATTATGATATAATAGGACAGATCGCATTTTCTAAGATCTACCCATCATGGTGTGGGGGCTTTCCCATGCTTGTCTCGTGGGATTTCTTTTTTGTTTGGAAATAAAAGAATAATAAGAGTTGGCAAAATGCCAGCCCCTACTCCAATCCACTGATGAGGCAATTGAGCCGGTATTTTGAAAATACATTCGACGACCGACTCCTAAGCTCAGTTCTATGCTTGTTCGGTGTCTGGTGGTGTTTTGCGAATTAGTCGACTAGCATCAGTCAGTCTAGTCTTATGGCCCATATTGCATATTTTGAAGTAGAATTCACGTTCATGATGTGTTCAAGGCGGTATATCTGTGAACCAACCTGCAAGATCAGGCAAATCAAGTCTCCCAAGGAATCCAAAGTCTTCCTGTCCCAAGCTTATCTCATCCCAAGATGTAAAAGGATTGAATTCCATGTTATTGGGTTCGTGACGGAGATTGTGTTCGTCTGATATCGGCTCAGTAGGCTGCGATGACAAATCAAGTCGGTTCAGTTGTTGATTGCCCCTTTGGTGCAGCTGAGTAGAAACTAACGAGGAAGCAACACCAGGCCGACAAGTAGCTATACGAGAATTAGCCTGTACCCAGTGAAGATCTATTACTAAACAACAAACCTGAGTAGTTTTGCATTATATGTTGGTGCGTCACTTGCAAGAACTGCAACGAGTTGCGTGCAGAGAGACTGAACATGGCCATAAAAGCTAAGATCTCTTCGCACTTGCGCCAACTCGCATCCACGATTTTTGAATCGACCTGCTCTCTGATTGAATGGCAGGAGTATGACATTATCAGGATGATCCCTGCAGTGGATGTGTCTAGCAGATGTTAGTTGACGATGAATAACAATGAGTGGAATCGATCACGAACAGAACCCATTGTACCACCATGCATCAGTTACGCTTGTTCGATATGTTTCATGAACAAGTGAGACCAGATCTATGGCTGCCATGACGCATGAGGAGGCACATTTCGAGAAGACTGAGGAGTATATTATATTTTTCTCGCCGAGCTGTACATCAGAGCGGCGTGATGAGCCTGCTCGCTCATCGGAGCAGAGTTGAGTAAACATGGGGCGATACAATAGAAGGCGGAGGTGAATGAATCTAATTTGTTTTTCTTTTAGTTAGAAATTGTAACTCAAAATCCTAGAAATAGAAACAAGTTACCTCGCACGTAACACATTCTGCTGGCGCTTGAAGGTTGATGCATTGCCAATGCCTGAGCGATGCAACGAAGGTTCATCTGTCCAATTCAAGGGCTGGGGCACGCTAGCCTCATAAGCAGCAAGTTTGTCGTCGAGCTCCATCAACACATCCAGGCTACAAAGTTTGGAGCTTCGCAGCGAACTGGTGCGAGTGCTATTTGATCGACTCTGCCAAGCGTTATAGACCTCGGATAGAATAGACTCGAGAATTTTGTATAATTCAATAGTTGAAATGTGGAACGTCATATATCCCAGCTTATGATCGCAGAGCTGTCCACTAAGCTCACAAGGATCAGCTTCTTGGGAGTCCGTTCCCATTGCAGGCAGAGGTAACGGTGAGATGTGAGAGGTCATGCTCGGTCTGCCATGTGTCATGCTAACAATCCTATTTTCATTTGTTAGCTGTGTCTTAGAAAGAACAGAAAAGCGATTGCACAAACATATCCATAATGACGCAGCTATGCCATGTTCGCCGCCGTATTTCTATTTCCAGAGGCTTGTTCGAGGAATGTGTGGTTGTCTCATGTAATCCGAGTCCTTGACCAGCTCGACAGGCCATTCCAACTGCATTCCAGCACCGATTCGGATAAGGAGTACTTTGAAGAAGAAGTGAAACGATCAGAAACGTTTGAACCACGCCGATAGTGCTTATGTCCAGAAGATCAAGATTCACAAATCGTTTTGAGCGAAGGAAAAATGAATAAACCGCAGCCTCCCGATCCGCAGGCGGAATATCCGAGAAATAGCAGCCAATGGCAAAGATGGCATTGAGTGCACAATGGAAGACAATTGAATTAGGACCGCAATCAAACGCGCCCCCGAGTCCAATATTGAGCTGTGGCAACTCAGGCTTGGATGCCTTATCCGACTCCCAGAGATTTTTATACGCTTGCTCAAAACTAGGGCGATGGAAAAATGGAAATAGACAATGCACTCTGTCCAAGTAACACTCAAGAAGATGGTCTGCCAGAGATCGAGGGGGCAAAGAGAAGTCATCGAACCGAAGATCTACCGATGGGTGGCCTATATCTCGCCAAATCCCCTTATCAGAGCCCTGGGATCTTGACGATTCACTCTTGTTGCCTCGCAAAGCTGACATATATGACTGCAATGGCATCGACTCTCCTGCTAGTCGCATAAAAGAGGCCACTGAAGAGTTCCCATAGTATTGCTGCTCCTGTGGAGAGTCTGTGCCTGGGTCGTCTTCTGCGACAGATATTGCACCCATGGCGGTGACATTACCGTGGGAGTTGAGAGACGGCGAAGCATATATGCTGCCTGCTCGTGGGTGGGCAGATTCAGGAGACAGATGTGCCGCATGTGGAGATCTATAGCGCTCAGCTTCCGGTCGATTCCTCGGCGTGGGGATTCTTGGCGGTTGAAAAGTAGGCGTTGAAGAAGACAGAGGACTTGGTCCAGATGGCACAGGGGTGGATCCCAGTCCTAGTAATCCTTCCGCGGCAACAGATGCCCTTGATTCTACGTCCAGATCCATATCTTCACCCACAAGGCTTTGACTTGCAGATGCCCGGTAGTTTCCATGTTGCGAAGGCCCAGGTGGCACAGCAACCCCGCCTTTCGCGCATGTTGCTTCAAGCTCTCGAATACGATCATGGAGAATCTTCAGGTATTCATCATTGCTGGCGAACCTTGCATTATCCAGCTTGTAAACACATTGGTCAACAGTATACGAGCGTCGAGCGCAAGGGCCACAAATTGGCTTGATACCATCGCACCTGACCTTTTTATCTCGACAAGACTCGCAAGCCAGGGCAATCTTGCGACGCCGCGGGGGCTCTCGTTTATTAATTCCACCTTTGGGAGGCATCTGTTCGACAAGTTGTCCTATAAGCCACAGCTAAGTGTATGTGTGACCCACAATATTGCTGGTACACAATTTTATTGGTGACCCGGGTGGTGACCGGAAGAAAGGAGAGAAAAGCAGTGGAACAATCCCGAGACTGTTGTTGTCCGGAATGTACCCGGGCATATAGTCACGTGTCATACCCCGCGGAATTAGGAAAACCAAACACTACGTCCACTACTCCGTAGTCACAACAGAGATAAACACGCCGATTAACCCTGAGTTGCTATAATTGGACTCCTTGGTCAAATTTGTTAGAACGGACGAGAGGAAAATCCCACCGACAACGAGATACTGCTAACCTAATTAGCTTATTTATGTCCCAATTAGGGGTAGTTATTGTCGGTGTCGGTAGGACCTGTATCAGACGTGGAGCGGGATGCACCCGGTGTGTGCTGAGAGATGAATAGTGAAAGTAAATAATAATAATACTACTAATCACTACTCCGCAAATATGTGCATATACAGTTAAAGAGCATAGAGAAAAATACAGTAAGTCAAATTAGGAATGGATGTTTCGTAGTAGAGGACGCGTGCGAAGGTGTATAGCGGCCAGTGGTCGAATGCCTGATTTTGCCTGATTTTATACTGGCAAATACCTGAATTACAATGACAGAGAGCATCTAAAATAAAGCTATTCCTACCATGTAAATCTCTGTTCGCCTAAGTCTTGGTGGTTTGAAGATATTCCGACCGTATATATTTGTTTATTTATTTATTTCCTGATCTGAAAGTTGTTCTTACTATACAAACCTCCATCTCCCTCCAATTCGAGTATTATTACTCTTCCTCTAACCTTATCCTCTATCTTCCCCCGCTAGCTCTAGCTCTAGCGTAGCGAAGTATCCCAAGAATAAGCTCGCGGTCGCTTCCGTGCCCTTTCTACCGATTCAACTACTACGGGAGGGGGCGATACGACTGCTATAAGAGGTAGCGAGACTATAATGAATGCCATGCGTACTGAAAATAGAGTGCCAAGAGGTACACTGCCTTATCGGGATTAGCCCCTATGACAATAGTGCCTTCCGTTTACAAAACACAGTATAGGCGGTATCAAAGGCGGTCTAGAATCGGGCATAAATCAGGCATTTAAGGCATCAACTCTGCAACATTAGGCATTCGGCCACTGGCCGCTATACACCTTCGCAGACGCGGATCCGCAAGTACTATCCCGGGTGCATCCCGGAATTGACGAGGGAACCCTGCTGCCTCATTATTAACGAGGAACCTTGCTTGACCGAAATATTAGGAGAAATTTAATCCTCTTCACTTCCCGAGGTCGCTCTTTTATTAAAAATCCAAAATCAAGTACTGTTACATCGTCTTCCACAGAATCCTAAAGCAATATCTAAAACCCAAGTACAATATCAGCTGGATACCTGATTATCTTTCACAATTCAAAGAAGCCCATTACCAGTTTGGTATTTACCACATCTCCGAATGGAAAACGCCAATCAGACGATTCAAATGGACTATAGTACCCTTTCACACTACTGTCCCTGGCAAGACGACAGACCTCAACCAATCTCCCGATACCGATGGCCCGCCGAAGAAGGTCTACAATGGGGTTCAGATCCCAGTTTCTGCTATCATGGCTTCTCTAGTCCCATCGGTACCTGGACAGAGGAGCGCCTGGTCCAGAACCTGATGCGGAACATGGCCGGTTTGTGTACCGCCATGGACATTGGCTTTGATGTTCCCGAAAGTATATATGAGCCATCTCAGAAGAATCCATCGGAACTGGATGGATTAACACTCCCGATATTTCAGACCTCGATGGTCCCACAAAATGGAAGACCCTCCGAAACCCCATCGCCATCTTCATCCTCGAGCCAAGCCCAAATGTTCTCTTCGGATGATACTGAATGCACGCAGCGGGCAAGCTGTGTCAAAGCCAGAACCCAGTTCAAACAAAGGAAAAGAAGGTGTGTGCAAAGGCCAGGACAAAACTTATGCCACTGCCGATCGGAAAAGAAGAGGAGAGAGATCATTGGAGACCGATATAAAGAACTCTGTCACATTGTGCCAGGGCTTGAGAGACAGTCATACACGAGAAAATATGTTCTCGAGGAGGCTGCACTGTGGATTCAAAAATTGATTCAGGACAACGTTGCCCTTCATCAACAACTAGGGGAGTTGAAGGAACAGGAAAAGTTGACTCAGTTGAGGTTATTTCCTGTCGAGAAAGACGAACAGGTGGGCTGCTAGTCCTAGCATTATTTCTATCTAACAATACTATCAATATCTGCGCATGTCATTTGATACCTCACGGAACCGAGCACTATTTAATGTAATATGATTAGAGGTCTTTCAGTAGTTTATGTTCGTCCTATATTTATACCTTAAACCCCAGGTCATTCTCTATCTCACTGGCGTTGGTTGGTATAAAGAGGCCAACTTCTTTCTAGGATTGCCTCTTCTTTCTCATCCTCTGTATATTGAATATACCATGCCCTAGAATTTCCCAAGAACATCCATGGCTTAGTGCCTACCAAGGAGGCGCAATGGCAGCAGTCCCCTTACCCAATCTCTGAATCTGCGCAGCATAGTACGTCTACCAAACTCGTTAGCAAACCGCCTAAAGCACCCAAAAGCAAAAAGAAAGAAAAAAACCTACGCTCTCAGCCCCAGCCCCAATAAGAGGCAACGGCAAGAAACGTGTATACCACGGAATAGGCGCCTTATTCAAGGGCATCTGCGCCTCGTCGTCGCCGACACTCTCATCAAGCAACAGACGCGGGAACTTCGGATCAATAGCCGCAGGCCGCCCAATACCAACAAGATCACAAGCCTTATCCCTAATAGCAGCCTCTGCCCCAGCACGCGTGCGGAACCCACCGGTTAACATAAGCACAAGCTCAGGATGGCGCTGTCGCACCTCCTTCGAGAACTCGAGGAAGAAGGCTTCGCGCGCTGCGGTGCGCGACGATTCTGGTGCTGCCGGATTGGCTTTGCCGTAGCCCATCATCTTTGGGTCTTCGTAGCTGCCACCTGAGATTTCCATGAAGTCGATGCCGGCTTCGGCTAGAAGTGCGATTTGCGTCATTGTTTCTTCGAAGATTGTGGAGCTGTGGTCGGCTGAGTTTAGCTTGATGCCGATTGCGAACGTCGCGGGTACGACTTTGCGCATTTGAGAGAGGATCTCTAGGACAAAGTGGGCGCGCTTTTCGGGTGTGCCGCCGTATGCATCTGTGCGGAGATTTGTCTGGGGTTATGGTTAGTATTGGTGTTGGGCTGGTGATAGGGGAACCGAGAGTGTCATACCTTGCCGTTGAGGAATTGATCTAAATAGACGGACCATTAGCAAAGAGGTTATACATTTTTTAAAAAAAACTTACCAATCAAATACCCATGCGCACCATGCAGCTCAATACCCGAAAACCCAGCATCCGCCATAAGTCTCGCGGTATCAACAAACTGACGAATAACCCTTTCAATATCCTGAGTCGTCATCTCCTTGGGCTGGGTCCAGACCAAACACCCAATCAGCTTCTCGAAATAGCTCTCTCCAACCTTCATGGGCACGGCGCTGGGCGCGAGTGTCTGCGCGAATATTCCGCGATGACCCGCAAGGCGGAAGGACTGACGACCTGGGTGGCAGATCTGGACTATGGCCGGTGTGCCGTGCTTTTGGCAGGTGTCGGCGTATTTCTTCCATTGCGCGACGAGGGAGCTGTTGGTTTCGCTGTCTTTATATTCACTGTGTAGGGCAGGGTCGAAGGGACTGCCCATGTGGTTCACGTCGACTTGCACGTTTCCTGCTAAGATGTTAGGGTTGGGTGTCCTTTGGAATATATTTTGACATTTGTTTCGCGGAATTAGACCTTACCTGTAAGAATCATCCCCCATCCACCGTCCGACCATTGCTCATATGCATCAACCAGGGCGTTTGTCGGCTGATTAGTTTTGGCGATCATCTCAGCCATTGCGGCCTGGAAGATATTAGTTCCATTTGTGCATAGCCGCTAGGCGTGAATAACGTATGTGATTTGTACCTTGCCTAGCCTATTCGGCAGAACAAGCCCACAAGGGAGCTTGACGGGGTCTGCGAGGGGAGATGGCATGGCGTATATGTATCGTATGCAATCAATATATACAGTGTAAGGAATACAGTCTAATGTAATTGGCGATATAGATGAAGTCTAACAGACACAAAACACGCTGTTAATGACGTTAGTCTCAATTTGCTCGCAACTCAAAACGCAGACATACCTCTATTCCAGAACAAGAAATCTGCAAAGGAAGAACAACAGACACTTTCATCAATTTGTAACTAGTTTGTTAATGAAAATTAGCTCTTAGTCATCTCGCGGAGAGATTGATCTCCCCGTCTCGCATTGTGGAGTCTTCAGGGGCCGAGGTCCACGTTGAAGAAATGTGGATTGGGAAATTCGGGGAGTTGGGTTCATCCGTCCTGAATTTCGAGTCTGCTTGATATATTTGACGCTCAGTGAGGAACGCCATTACTAACTTAGATTGGAACATGTTGCGACCTCTACAGGTGTTGACGTAAAGTTGTGAACAAGCTAAATAGTAGGATAATGGTATACAAGTGATATTAAATTTTGTTCATTCATATGGCAATGCCAGCGAAATGCTAACTATCCCCAAGATGCTAAGACCCCCAAAATGCGAGCCAAAAACCAAAGGAAATAAGTGTTGGGTATTCAATCAGGGGAAAAGAAGTTCGTGTCCAACCTGAAAATAGGCAGAGAAGAAATGTAAGAAACGAAGTGCGCTCGAAACCAACAAAAGACAAAAGGGGAGAAATATCAAAAGTCAAAGGTGACATGCGAGTCCATCACGCAGAGATCCTAAGCGCTGACATATTCGAACAGATGCTTTTTTTCTGCAAAATGCAGCATGCACAGCCAAGTCTAGGACAAAAACAAAAAGATCAAATCTTACAACTTGGCATTCTTCTCCTCAGTTGGGGAGCCAGTCGCCGTGATGGGTGGCGAGATCGTTCCTAGATTAGAGAGGAGGTGGCCGACCTCGCTCTCCAAAGCACGGACCTCTGTGTGAGGGTCATACATGCGGGCCTTGATCCAGTTGTCCAGCTCGGCGTCGCCCATAGAGCGCAGCGCAATCTCGCGGTCCACCTTGTCCTCCTGGGCAGCGCGCATCACCTTGCGGGTGACGACGACACTGACCTCGCGGATGCGGGTGATATCGGGGTAGAGCAGGCCGCGCTCGAGCTCCTCGCCGGTAAGGGCAGCGGAGAGGGCCTCGCCGGAGGCGTAGATCATACTGTCTGTGACGCGGACGGCCTTGGACAAGATGCTGCCTAGACCGATACCAGGGAACACGTACATGTTGTTGCCCTGGCCGGGGTAGTAGGTGCGGGTCTCGCCGGCGGAGTTGGTGAAAGTGTAGTTGGGGAAGGGGGAGCCGGAGGCGAAGAGGCAGCGGCCGTCGGTGTTGGCGATAGCAGTCTCAAAGTCACACTCGGACTGAGAGGAAGGGTTGGAGAGGGGGAAGATGAGAGGGGCGGTGTTCCAGTCAGCCATCTTGCGCAGGATCTCCGGGGTGAAGACGCCGCCCATGGTGGAGAGACCCATCAGGATGGAGGGCTTGACGTAGTCAATGACCTCTTCAAGGGTCTTGTACTGCTCGCCGTTGTTGTCACCGCGAGCAAAGTAGACCTTGTGGTCAGCGAGCTTGTCACCGCGATCAGCGGTGACAAGACCCTTGGTGTCGACGAGGTAGAAGCAGTTGCGGGCTTCGTCCTCAGTCATGCCTTCGCGCATGAAGAACTCGACGATCTGGCGGGCGACGCCGACACCGGCACTGCCAGCGCCGAAGAACACGGCACGGTGATCCTTGCAGGGCAGACCGGAGCGCTTGACAGCGTTGATGATACCGCCAAGGATGACAGCGCCAGTACCCTGTATGTCATCATTGAAACAGGTGTACATGTCACGGTACCGCCGAAGAGCAGGGAAGGGGTTCTTGAAATCCTCGAATTGGATGACGATACTAGAGAAGCATTGTTAGTCGCGGTTTCCATAGGACATGTGAGAATGAGTCACTTACCCGGGCCAACGCTCGGTAAGAGCGGCCATCAGCTCGTCCAGGAACTCCCGCTCCTCCTCGGGTGAGATCTTCTCGCGGCGGCTCCCCATGTACAGCGGGTCTTCCCGGAGGGTCTTGTTACCAGTGCCCAGATCGAGAGTCAGAGGCAGGGTGACCTCGGGACGAATACCCGCACAGGCGGTGTAAAGCGCCAACTTGCCGATGGGGATACCCATGCCGTTGATGCCCAGATCACCCAGTCCGAGGATGCGGGAGCCATCAGTGATACATGTGATCTCGACGCTAGGTTCAGGCCAATTGGCGATGACCGAAGCCAGATTGCCGCGATCTTCCCAGCTCAGGTACATACCTAAAACGAGCGTTAGCGTCTCCGGTTCTATTTCGTGCGGAGAAGATGCCAAATGCGGAGAAGATCTCAGTTATCGCTGATACGTACCTTCGGGCTGTTGGTAAATCTCGGACCACCGTTGGCAGGCCTCGCCCACCACTGGGGTATAGATCAGGGGGGTCATTTCCTGCAGGGATTATGGTTAATTTTCGTCTCCCCAAGATTCCCCGGCCCAATCACGTGTCTCGGTGCTTAACGTACCCTGAGGTGGTCTGTCACCAGACGGTAAAACAGGTGCACATTGTTCTTGCGCAAAGTGCTAAGGTATAGGAATTTTTCGATAGGTGTGCTCTTCAGACCCAGCTGTGCCAGGCATCGGGTCCTTTGCGTCTCGTAGCTCTCGGTGCGAGGAGGAGTGAGGCCGTAGGTGCGGAGGTACTTGCGGATGTATGCAGGGTTGGCGGTATCGAAGTTGGCGTTACTAAGAACTATTAG